ATTGTACAAGTTAGGTCGTAGCCAGAAAGAAACAGTCGAATAGGTATCGTTTCCCCTATAACAGATAAGCTGTTCTTGAACATGTTGAACATACACAGAAGTTTCGCCCTGTTTCATATCTTATTACATTTGTTATACTATTCTGTAAGAACAATAGCAGTTATATTTAGAAAAACTTAGGAAGAACAAAATAGCTGCTCACTGACTGAATGTCTAAAGAACGTCGTTAATATGCTACCACGTTACATAGCACCGTTGTAACATCTTCAGTGGTTTGGGGCGTCCCATAAGTTTGGACGCAAGTAGTCGCAAGCACCAGAAGCGCCTGTAACTCTCTTTAGTCCCCCCTGTGCCCAGCGTTAATCGTTCAATGCCACAAGAAAACACAAAAAGACCCCAAGTAGAATTTGCGGCAACTGTAAAAGACTCAATCCTCGTCAGTAGGGCTATCTGCCGTTTCAGCGTTTACACTGTATTAGTCATTACTGAATCTGCAACATTCTTATATTAATTAACACTTCAACATCTGTATTACTGTATTACAATTATATCGATTGCTCACCCTTTACAGGTGCTCCATCCATTATTTCATATTTTGCAATCACTTCTGTTTCATTGAAAACGTTCGCGGCTAAAAATAAGAACCTGACCATCAAGTAGTGCTAGTAGGCTTCAGAAAATTGTACTCCATCATTTAAAAAACAGTATGAACAAATACGCGTACCAGATCCGACAATTTCCCGCTTCAGTATAGCGATTTCCATGTACTTTATTTTAATTCGAACCAGAAGAAAGTATATCTTGCCAACAATCACGTCCTTCACGTGATATCTAAATGCAAAACAAAATGCAAAAAAAGTACATTTTAAAAGGCAATAAAATGTGAACTGGATGCTCAGAAACGTGGCAACGCGTACGACTGATTCACACAATAAACAAAATACAGAAATAGATGTATTGCGCTGCAATGGTTTGGGCATGTCTTGCGAATGCCTGCAGAAAGAAAGGCCAAGCAATTGTTTGTTGCCAAACCAACCGGCAGACGGTCCAGGGGACGGCCAAGATTAATCTGGTGCAAGTATATGGAAGGAGCTGTTCCGGACTCTAGTTGTATTCTGCCGAAGCTGAGACTAAGGCACAGGATCGGGAACGGTGGAAGAAACTGTGTGATGTGACCCGAAAGGAGAAGCGGTCATAAGAGATAAAATTTTGAAGGCATAAAACCGGTAGCGCACATACATGAAGATAACGAACATGAAGAATGCCCTATCTCGATGGAAAATATAAACTCGCAAATTCGACACTGAAAGAAGGGAAATTTGCTGAATTAAGAATATATTATCATCAAGGCATCATGGCAATCATCAATTCAAACTATCACTATGACATGTCAAATAAGGATCCACGGAAACGATACCGACCGTGGGAGCTCACAGTCAGAAATCGCAATATCACTACGCTCGGAGATAAAGAGTAAGTGCCAGTAGATGAGGCCGCAAAATACCACTCGAGAGAGTTGGACTTTCGTCAACGAAGCGCCAAGGCTCTAAAATCCTGAACCTCTGCGAGTGGAGCCTATTCTATTCAGGTGTCGATATCACGACGCGCGCTCAGGTGGTAATGGTATCCTGGTAGTACCCAACCTGGCTGAGAGAATCACTGAATGGAAGCTTGTAAGCGGAACAGTGGCAATCCTCTGACTGAAGCAATAGGCTAAAATGTTGACACTGTTACAGGTTTATGCGCCTAATTTAGAGGGGGAAGAGTGAAGTCTGCTCCGTACGAAATACCGACTACTGAGTCTTACATTCTAATGGGCAATATTAATGCGCATGTCAGAGCAAACGCTGAAAAGTGGAAAGGTGTGATTAAAGAGAACGGCCCCAGCGACCTCAACGGTAACGGCATCAAGTTGTTGCGGTTTTGTGCAAATAACGGACTGACCATTATAAATACCTTCAAGCATCGAAGAGTGCATCAGGCACAGGGAAACTTGCGCACAGAAACAAATGAACAATTTATAATCGTATCGCTCTATAACGGATGTTGGAGCTATGGCAAGCGTAGACTTGTCAGCCGACTACTCCCTTGTTGCTTGCACGCAACGCTGTGAGAAATGGCGACCATCTTGTGACATAAACAACCAGAGAATCAAATGGTAAACATTATCTTCTGCGGATACGATGACGAAATTTCCAAACAACATCGCACGACGGTTTGAACAGATTCAGCGATAGCGGGTGACATCTAAACCGATTGGAATCTGTCTAAAACTGCTTTAACTGGGGCTGTTGCTAAGTGCTGCGGTTTAAAACATGATAGACTGCCACCTGAGGGTCAGAAACAAACTTCCTGTGAACTGCAGAGAGCCTGATAATATCTATGATTTGTGCCTGATCATGCTACGGCGTGCGTAACGAAAAGAATTAATAATAGTATTACAATCAAGGTTTGGTGCTCTCAAATATGAATCAGCAAATCATCTGCAACTACTGGCTATAGAATCTGAAATATAATGTACGTTTTTCAAATTTAACGATATTACGAGCACGGGACTAATAAATCTTGCCTCTGTTACAAAATATCATGAGCTGCAAATTACCCATGCATATATGCATGAAATTTGATAATTGATTTTCATATTCAAAAAATTAAATAAAATTATACGGTTTTCAACTGAAAGGTTATTAATTAATCAGATGTCACTGTATTAACAAAGCTTTATACATGTCAACAAACTTTAGCGTGAAACCTGCGAACTTAAATGTACATTTTAAAATTAAAATAATAATGCTTAAATAAATAAAAATAGAAGACGATAAAAAAGAAATAAAAACTATGCTCACTTCGACTTGTTGTATTCAAATTCAATGTGTAAACAATCTTCGATGC